TAAGGGAGTCAACTATTTTGGATTTTGAGAGGCAGATACTCGATTTGGATTTTCCAAATAAACCACAGAATTAACACAGAGTTATGAAAAGGGAGACCCATCTACCTCGGACATTAAACATCACAAAACTGTCTCTAACATCTCTCTCTCTCTCCATAGCATCCATCCTGTGGGCTCCTGGGTGAAAAGCCCTTGCAAGAGAAGAGGGTCCATTTTTCCCCCCTCTCCCCCCTCCTGCTCTTTGCAAGAGCTGTGATCTCCCCATTTCTAAAGCTGAAAGTGTCTTAGATCTAAAACAGGTTCTACTTACCCTTCCTCTCAAAAAGGAAACAGCTACAGCCATTTTCAAATACCCAGGCCTAAATCAATATAGGTAACACTTTCCCCAAGCACACTCTTTAATTACACTTCTGTTCATTCCCAGGGTGGTGAGGCATTAAAGCCAAAACATCTTAGGTTTAACTATTCAGTGTGTTAAACTGCAAGTCCAGAAATAATTCTTTTCTTCCAAAAAAGAAATGAGGAACAAAAGCAATTAAGAACAACATCTCCGTTCCTACTCTCTTTCCTTTCTGTAGTAGTACTTAAAAACTCTGGTTAGAGATCAGTGCCCCAGTGTGTTCATAAACATTAAATAAGAACTTTAATATTATTTAATTATACAAAAAATGAAAAATTTAAGGATGACATCCCTGTTACAAACTTTTTTTTTTTTGCAGTTCTGATTCTTATTAGAGTCTTTTTGCAGTATCCAAGCTGCACGGGGTACTTCAAGCTTAAAGCCTCAAACCAAATATTCTGTCTCAGTGAAAGCAGTTAAGCATTGCCTACATCTCTCCAACTAAAAGTGACTGAGAGCTTTGAATTGCTGCAGAAATGAAGTCCAATGAATTTTAGCATCTCCCTACAGGACAGGTAGCCTCTGTTTCACCACAGAATAATGTTGCTTCAAGATCCAGAGATGCTAGAGATCTAAACCCAGGGGGAAGCCTGAGAATCAGTCTATTATTCTAACTCAGCAGACCCACAAGCATCCATTCTTTGACAGTTACTTTAGCTACAAATCCAAAAGACATCCTTGAATTTGTCTCCCTTTATCAAGGCACAGTCCAATTGGATAAAACAGAGACCTAAGCAGATTGTGATCCAAGTGTCACAAAACTACTCTGCCAAGCAAAGCTGTTAATTCTCTAGCCTTGTGAATTCCATCCAGGGTTTAAAACACTAACAAGCTCAGCTTGGAGAAAACGAACAATTAAGGGTTATTGAAAGAGACACTTTGGTTAATTTATCCAGGGAGAGCACGAGTTCACTGCCACCCATTGCTTTGCTTTGCCACTGCCTTTTCCTTTCTAGAGCTGGAAAGGAGACATACATGACAGGAAACAATTCACACAAACAGCTGGAAAGCCAAGACAGTAGGAGATTTCCTAAACAAATACAATTCAGTGCAGTAACTAAGTCATGCCTGGTATTTCAAAGCCATTCCAGCGTTGCTAGGCCTTTGCACGCTGTTTTAAATTGCATTGCAAAGCTGCAGGGCTGAACCCCCCAAGTTAGATGAAGATCATATGGTTAAAGAGGGCAGGAAACAAACACGGAGGAGTTGAAAGGTTTGGTGATGATCTTAAGACCTGGTGACCTCTTGGTTATCTGGGTAGGGCACTTCAAAGGCGAATTAGTGAAGAGGGCTCAGCACGATATGGGCTTGTTTGCTGGACACCCTTGCATAGCCCAGCAAGGCCTGGAGAGCCCTGGCAATGAAGAGCTGTGGGCCCAGAGAGTTTGTGGAGGCTCCTTCTCTGGAGATATCCCACACCCACTTTAAGAGCCACAAGAACTTCAAAATTTGGGGCTGAAATCACATTCAAATCAACATTCCCCAGGAAAGTGAGAACTAGCAGAACTGTCAGGAAAACACCAGGAATATGTTCTGCTTTGAATAAGATCTGCTTCCCAATCTCAGTGCCTTAACATGGCAGACGCGTTAAAATCTGTCCTGAACATTAACTTCAGCCAGAAGAGTAAGGCTGCTACTGCAAAGCCAATGCCCACCGACACTGCTGGGTGAACTACAGTCACCCTGCTCCCACAGGGCCTAGAGGAGCTCAGAGCACTCAATGCACGTGCAAAGAAGCCTCAAATTTCTTAGATCTAATAGGTAAGACCCATCACTAAAGCTGACCAGAAACTAGGATTTAAAAAAAAAAAAAAAAAAAAAAAAAAAGCTACATTTCATTCAAAAGCAGAATTTCATTATCAGGGATGCGAGTTATGCTTCCCCTCCTCACCCCCCCCACCTTCAAATTCCAGACACCAAGGACTGAATTAGCTCCTGAGCTTGAATTGTTCACTAATAAGACTCCAGCAACCTTTTTTTTTTTTTTCCCCCCCCTCTCCTTTTTTCCTCTTTTTTCTTTTCCTTTTTCTCTCCTCTCAGGGAAATACAACTTTTGTGACAAGTCAGTGAAAAAATTTTGATAGCAGATTCCCAGACAGCTCTATCATGTCCTCATACGCTGATTGAGGACAGAAAAAGCCATTGGTGAGAGCAGGGTAGAGAAGGCTGAGAGGGGACCTGATCAGTGCCTATAAATACCTCAAGGGAGGGAGTGGAGAGGATGTGGCCAGTCCCTTTTCAGTGGTGGCCACCAACAGAACTAGAGGTAATGGCTGGAAACTGAAACACCAAAAGTTCCACAGGAACTTAAGGAAAAATTTCTTGACAATGAGGGTGCCAGAGCACTGGAACAGGCTGCCCAGAGAGGTTGTGGAGTCTCCTTCTCTGGAGATCTTCAAACCCGCTTGGACGCAGTCCTGTGCCACGTGCTCTAGGTGACCCTGCGTGTGCAGGGGGTTGGACTAGATGATCTCTAGAGGTCCCTGCCAACCTTAGTGATTCTGTGGTTCTAGGGCGCGTCTTGGAGCAGGGAGCTCCGTCTGCTGTGGAGCTGCATCCCCAAACGCAGAGCCACAAGTGGCAGCTCTCAAAGCACCAGCCCGTTCACACTGGGCAGAAGGCAAGGAGGAAAAGTGCCAAAAGTCACTGTATCCAGACATGTGGGGAACTGTGATGGGCTACCTAGTGCCATGAACAGCTACCACCTACCCATCCGCTACAACAACTTCCTCAGGGTAGGGAGAGCAGACGCTATTTGGATGCGGCTGCCATCACTTAACCTAATTTGGTGCTATTAAGATCCTCAGTTTAGATGGGAAGAGACACAGGGAAAAATTAAAAACAACAGCTTGTAGCAGCCCACTGCAGCCCTGAGAAATGCTTCATGGTCATGCAGACCAATGTCACACTGAAGAGCAAAACACCTACATTCTTCATCCAGCACCGTATTAAATCCAGAAGAGCACGGCTGCCCAGCCTGAAACTGTACCCTGCAGGAGGCTCTCCCAAAGGGCCAACATCCTTCCTCGCTGGGCAAAGTTTTCCCACACAGATTTTCCCATCAGGAAATGAAGAGGTTTTTTGTTAAACATTTTCCAACAACAAAACTTCACCATCCAGTGGGAAATTCTAAACACACCAAGATTGCTTCAACGTGTGATATTTGACTAAGCATTTGCGTCTTTACTTTAAAACTTCCATCAGTGATTTCTCCCTTCTCTTCAAACTTTCCTCCTCCTCCGCTTTAAGCCAGAATTCGACATTCTCACATGGCAAAGCTTCACTAGACAACCATTCTACCAGCTTTTACATCACCATTTAAATTCACGTTAGACAGTTTTACACAGCACTTTACGGACTTGGAGAGGGATATACTCCCCTGATGACGTGTCAGCTACCCAAACGCCTGCCCAGGGGACAATCAAGTCCACATGTGACATGGGGAACGTCTCTGGTGAGTGGAGAGGCGCTGCACGCTCATGTAAGCATGGTAGCTCTGAACAAAGATCCGCAGGCTAATAGACATGTAAGACAAGTGACATGTGGTTCTCATTGCAGCTCATGCTCTGGGAAGGGGGTTCCTTGGACCACAGCCAGCTGGGATAGGTTTATCCCATTACTCTCCTGTAATTTTCTGCTGTTTCAAACCCTTTGACAGTTACTGTAGTTTAACATCGCACCCCCTACAGACTGAGGCCTGGTTGACAGACCAGCAAACAAAACCACCCCCACCTTGAGACAAAATACACACCAGATGCGAGAATGGTGCAGCAGAGCAGGAGCAACAGCTCTTGTGCGTCGCTGCAAACCCACCGGGTCGCTGCCTTGTCCCAGCTCCCAGCCCCAACAAGCTGCGCGGCCCTAACCCCTCCTGCCCAGCAGCTACCTATTACCATGGGGTAACGGACAAGCCCTGAACATTAAATTCCTAAATCCCCATTTAAGGGAATCACTGGAAAAAAAAATCATGAAATTCCAGAACAACTGGAATCAGGTTAAGCCACTCTATACAGTGCAGCTCATTCATCTGAACAGCTGTTTCACCTCTAGAGAAATACCCAGAGAAACAGAGGAGGGAGGGGAGCTGGAGTTGTTTGCTCTATTGAAGCAGCAAGATGCAGTAAATCAAAACTGATTTACATTAAGTTTATGGGAACAGGCTTGGGGCGGTTGGGGGAGTGGGAGGTTTGGTACTAACAGCTATTCAAAAGCTGCAGATCATGAAGCAGTATCTATAACCGAGGTCTCTCTTTTGTTGAGTTGAACAAGTTTTCCTCATAGCCAGGGGCTGTAACAGTTCCCTCTGTCGGCATCCTCAACATTCCAGCTCCAGAGGCTTTAAAACCCTGGCTCTGCACAGTACAGTGACATGCTGACCGTGGCAGGACAAAGTTTCCATCCCCAACGGGCTGGGGTAGGCAAGAAGGGATGGGTTTGGGGGGGACCAGAGCTCAGCTCCTTGTCTCCATCAAGGCTTCCTGGCCCAGAGGGACAGTCCCAGGCAGATTGGGAGCCCCTGGGCAGCTCCTGGCACCATCCACACTACTGCCCGAGAAGGATGCTCAGTTAGGGCGCTGTGAGCAGACCCCATCTTACTCACCGTCGACTGGCGAAGCCGCTGCCCGGGGAGCCCGAGCTCTGCTCGGGGTAGTTATGCTGCAGGGTTGATGTTGGGAATTGATAGAGGAAGCCAGTCCCTAGCGCGTATCCGTGCAGGCAGCAGCACCAGGACAAGAAGAGAGCAAACCGCATTGTCGCGGGAACAAGATTTTCCTCACACCCCCTTTCCTCTTGGCACAAAACGCCAGGCCCCCCCGCCTCCGCACTGCGGGGTCGCGATGGGAGCCCACGAGGAGGAGGTGGCCCAGGAGCCGGGAGCGCCCCAGGCAGCCGGGCTGCTGCTCCAAGGATGCCCAGGTCCCTCCGCAGGGCCGGTCCCGGCTGCTGCTCACAGAGGGGGTCCGAGGCCGGAGCGGGTCTCTGCGCCCAGGGCGCACACTCAGCCCCGGATGCCTTTTCAAATTTGGCGAGGCTGGTCTGACTCCGTCAAAGGGGGCGTGTGGTTTCTGCGTTAACCCTTGCCGGGCCTCGCGGCCAGCACTGCAGAGGGGCTCCCTGCCAAAGGCATCAGGGCAGCCTGGAGCCCAAGGGCCAGGAAGAAGGGAAGCCAGCGCCATACGCAGGTCCAGAACCTGCCAGGTGTAGGGTCACAGCCACACAGAGCAGCTAGAGGTGACAAACAAGGCACAGACGGCCACGCAGAGCATGGGGAGAGCTGGCAGCATCGCCGCAGAAACCTGGGTTCACCAGCAGCTTCCCACACCACCAGGCAGTGCTGGGCATGAGCACACGGGGCACTGAGGTACCCGGTGCCCATCCCTGAAGTGTTTGGGATATTGATGACAAGAGTGGTCTGCACTTCCCTGGCTTAAGGGAGAGCCACTTCCAGGGGACCCTGCTGCGCTTCAGCAGGGCAGGGAAGACACGGCAGAACAGCCGAGCTGGGCTTGGCTTCTGCCACATTGCACCACACAAGTCAGACAAGCAGAAAACATATTTTGGAGATGCCTCATTTGCATTGCAACCTCAAAGGCCCGTTAAAAAGTAACTGCAGCTTCAGCACATACACCCTGTTCAGTTTTGGTGTCATGCTCAAGCATCTTCACGGCCAGCTGGCTCACAGAATTGTGTAAACCCCTTGTACCTAGCACCAACATGCCCCAGAACTGGAGACAAATGCAGTGTTGGTCCCTGCCACAGGCAGGGGCAGCGATTTTCCAGCTGTGGAAGGATAGCCCTGTTCCAGGGCAGCAGTACCCTAACAAGGGAGGCTCTTTCTCCATGCAGGCAGCTGAGTTTGGGTTTATAGCACTTGCATGCCCCAGTTCTGGCGACAGAGTCACAAACCCCGTGCAGGAGGGACCCTGAATGGACAGGGCCAGAGAAAAGCACTCCAAAGAAGGGAGAGGGGCTGCAGAGCCGCAGGTGAAACGGGATTCTCCCCTGCTCCCAGCCAGGAGGCACCTGGGCTGCTGGGGCTCACTGCCTGGGCAAGCAAGTGCTCTGTGCCAAAACAGGAGAGAGGGATTTGATCTCTAAGACCATGCAAACATGCGCACAAGTCTCCACCATCAGATCCTGCAACCTCATAGTACCCCCTTTGCAACTTTGTTTGTACAACCATCCAAACTCAAAAGACCTGATTTACCACCAAAACCGTGTATCCTTGGGGCCTGGGATTTCCCAGCAGGGCTATGCAACACCTGTGGAAGGAAAGATCCCTTTTCTCCAAAGGGCAGCAAGATCCCTGCATCCCTCATCCCTGGGTAAGCACCTACCCTTTCCCCATGGTGCCCACCCCAAGAACCTGCACATGGAAATAAATAGCCCCTGGCTGGAGCCTGCAACCAGACAACTTGAGACTGCAAATGAGGCACCAGGTTTTTAAACAGCCAGAGTCATTAATCACTGGAGCAAAGTACAGGGGAGAAGCCTGGAGAGCAGCTCCACGTGTCCTCCCCAGGGCTGTCCCGCAACTGCCCTCAGGGTCCTGGGTCCACAGCAGACAGCGAGTCCGCACTATTCTACCTCAAATGCATCAGGTCCAACGCACCAGCAGGGGTCAGACAAGGCTGCTCAGAAAGAGGCACTAAGTATTTGCCAAAAAAAAAAAAAAAAGAAAGCAAGCCCTCGGGGCTGGGAGCTGGGACACAACAGTGGCCTCCGTCCCCAGCCCTGCCTCATCCCGTCCCCTGCCTCCCTCTGCACGGGGAGCTTTCCCCCCGCCGCCCCACAAACACTCAGCCCCCAGTAACTTACCCAAACGCTTCCAGCCATTCTGGGGAAGCCTTTCTGCTAGCGCCTCTGTGCTCAGGGCTAGGCCTGTCCTGCTTTTCCACGGACTCACGACTGGGCAGCTGTTTCTCTCAGAGGCAGTTTTCAGCTTATTCCAGCCACCGAAGAGGCCAGGAGAGCAAAAAGGCACCTATCTCCCCTCAGGCTTGCTCCTAGAGGAGCACTCAGAGCTCAAACCCTCACAGCTGTCAGGTCTCTGAACAACCCTGCTCTTTCATCAGAGCAATCCCCCTCAGCTGTGTGTGCAGGGCTAGCCCAGGTGCGGCCGGGCTAGTCCCCACGGCCTCCAGCCCTGGCCATTTACAGCTTCTCATCCCAAACGCACCTAGGCCCCTTCCTGTCAGGCTGGGATAGATCTTTTTATCAATATTTACCAGCATTGAATGGCATCACCCACTTTGTGACCCTTTCTCCTGGCTTGGGTTAGGCCCTTCGGAAGCACTTTACAATCTTCAAGTCTTACTTGTCCACAGCTTTTTAATTTTGCTTGCAGGCATAATTGACGCTTCAGCCTTCTTTCTTTTGCAAGATGTTGGGAGGAAACATTAAACACAGTGATGAGAAAAGATATGTTCTGGCACATTATTAGAGACACATCCAGAAAGGTAATCTTCTCCCTATTTCCTGACCTGAGAAAGTGGACAGCCTAAGTCGAATGACTTTGCCCAAGATTACAAAGAAGCAAAAGCAGAGCCAGAAACAGAACTTGGGTCTTGAGGATTCTGTTACTCGTGCCCTGTTCCTAATGTACACACGCTTCCCGAGTGGCTGATTTAAGATGAAAATGAAGAATTAACTTCTAAGCTGTTCTTGGAAAGAGGGGTGATATTGTCTACTGTAAGGGGAGAATTAAAGATGACATTTCATTTTTAGTCATTTGGATATGCATAATATAATCAAACACAATAGCAGTAATAAATGAATATTTTTTCTCCCTGTGGTGCTTACGAGTGCAACATATCCTAACAATTTCTCAAAAGTATGTTGATAAATTGGAAACACAGTGATGGAGGTAACAAGGACAGCCAAGAAAAACATAATTCATTCAATTTATCAGGAGTTTAAGAAGAGAGCCCTTGAAATCTGAACAGCCTATTCTTATAAAAGAGACATACTGTTTTACAAAAGATAGGTTTCTGATGCATGTACATAAGCATGTTAATTAAAGATTCACCTAGGCACTTGGGGCTGAATAAATTATTTGGAATTATTTGGAATTATTTCCCCAACTCAGTTCAAGCTGGGAGAGGCAGGAGTGTGTGTGGGTGCAGGGAGGCCGGATTTCCAGCTTACCGGCTGGATTGGCTTCATTTGAGCTACTATGGAAGAGCTGGTCCTGGAGGGCTTCTTCCAAGCACTGCTCACCTCCTGTGCACGCACAGGCCTTCCACGGAACGCTGATCCATTGGATACATGTGAGCACTGAAAGTTTCACACACTCTGGAGTGTTGTTGTCAGCTCTCGGTCCATGGACATACCTGCCACACAAGGCAAATTTTTCTCTGATACCGCTGTAATTTCTTCAAATGTATACACCATATGCAAGCCAGCCAAGAAATGAAATGGGGAGAAAACACAGACAACAAAAGGAACATTGGAAGTTTAGCCTTTTTTTGTTTGTTTGTTTCATTGTAGAGGAAAAGCAGTAGAATACCACAGCAAAAGATGGGTCCATTTTTAAAAGCTCTTCTGTTTGAATGGTGAATTTGAAGGTAGCGTTGCCATACCTGAGACTGGCAGGCTCGTACAGCAGGCAAGCCTGACCCTGAGGCTGCTTTGTTGCCTAAAAGAACAGCTAAAGAACTGTTTTTCAGAGGCTTTAACACACAGTATGTTCCTGTACCAGCTGTAAGAGCAGAGCCCAGCTCTAGAATCGAAGGTCATTTCAATCATTTTTCGATCGCTAGCACTCAGCACTGCTCACAGCATTGGAAAAGCTAGTAGTTACCAGGTAAAAGAGTCAGAATATTGTTAGAGAAAATGAAAATCCAATGAGTTTTTATAGGTCTGCCCCTTGAATTTTATTAGTTTCTTTTTTTATGTTGCTACTAAGAGAGCAAAGCAATAAGTTTTGCTCTATTAGATAAAACTCTGTGGAGCTTTAGAATTATGAAGTGTCCTTTTGAAGTTAGAAGGAATCACTGATAAAACCATTGAAAAGCAAAAACCCTTTGGATAAAAGTCTTCCAGCTTCCTAAGGATCCTAGATTATTTCATCATGATATGTCAAAGCAATCACTCAGGGAACCTTGGAAAACTAGAAAAGATGAATAATGGCTTAGTAAGAGTTAAAGATCTCTATTATAAACTAAATTATAAGATTACTAGGATTATTATAACATGTCCAAAACTGAAAATTTGGAAGTTTTTTTAACCAGAAGGAGCTAATGTGTTTCTTTGTAGATTTGTTGGCTTTGACCTGGAATAAATCAATCACAGCTGAACTCATAGTGGAACAGAACTGAAAAAAAAAGTCACAATTACATAAGCAGTTTAACATATGGCATATATGATATACAGCAATATTATATGAAGCACAAGAAATGATCCAAAAGTCTAATTTGGGCCAAATTAATTACCTTAGAGGAAACTTGGCCTGAGTGAAGCATTTGTGTGGGTACTATAAAGTAACATACTGGGTAAAATAATTCAGCTTGAAAGATAATTCAGCAGAGGGAAAATGTGATGATTTAAGAGATCAGCGAGATAGGACTACCATCAGTAGTGGCACATACCCTGAGCATTATTATGTCCTGGGAAGAGTGATTTTTATCTCCTTTAATGGCAGACAAAAGTTCTCCCCACCTGGACACTGTTGACGAGCTGATGTGCGCCCACACAGTGATTTTGGTGTACCTATAAACTCTGCTCCTAAAGCTTTCTCTGCATTGCCTTGCCAGGGATCTGCCTTT